GCCTTCGAGAACTAACCAGCACCCTGCGTGGAAAGCACTTCGTTGTCATGTTGCTTACTGTTTTCTAATGCCGCCTCCCCCATATTTATATTGGCAATTTAAGCAAACATAGTTGGTAGGGGGGGGGCGGCTAGTAGTAGTAGTAGTAGTAGTAGTAGTAGTAGCAGTAGTAGTAGTAGTAGTGGTAGTGGTAGTGGTCGTGGTAGTGGTAGTGGTAGTAGCAGTAGTAGCAGTAGCAGTAGCAGTAGCAGTAGCAGTAGGAGTAGTAGTAGTAGTACTACTACTAGTACTAGTACTAGTAGTAGTAGTAGCAGTAATAGTAGTAGTAGTAGTAGTAGTAGGAGGATGAGTAGTAACAGCCATAATAGTGAGAAAAGAAATAATACTAATATTAGACAAATACTGGCTCGCCCCGCTACCCAAAAGCCGAAACAACAAACACAATCGCTCGAGCTCATCTGGAACAGCGGCAACGCACAACGGGAGACTTGAGATCTCCCTCTAAGCCTGGTGGCACGCGACACAAGGGGCACCTTTTTGGGGGTTATACAGGGGTTATTTAGGGTTTATAAGGATAACGGAAAAGAAAATGGAAGCTACCATTTAGGTACTATCTGCTTTCCCAAGTCATGCTCTCAGGGGGTTTAGGGCTCAGGGTTACAACTCCGGCGCAGACTTTCGTTGCAGAAACAAAGCTGGCACACCACGCAACCGGAGTGTCCGTAAGAAAGTTAGAACCCATGATTGACCTGAAGGCCCTCAATGAGTCATGTGGATCAGTGCTCTGTTGGGGCCTCTGCTTATTAAGCCCTTAATCCCTCATATACGGAACCGTATACCGATGTACATCCCCCAGTTTCGATTCCAGTTCCCATTTGAATAATCTCCATTGATATATGGTAATTTCCCCAAGTAGGGGGGCCCCAATGTAGAGCCCAAATACTGTAATCCTTATTATGGGGAGCCCCCAAAATGGAAACCTAAGTTTGGGAAACCCTAAATGGTAGCTTCCATTTTCTTTTTCATGATGCTTATATATGCCCTACATAAACCCTAAATAACCCCTATATAACCACCAAAAAGGTACCGCTAATCTTGGGAAACCCCCACATTGACACCTGGCCCTTGCCGTCGAAGCGTCTTCTTGGCTGGGGACCAACCATGCTCCCAGCGAAGATATCCTGCATCCTCGCTGTGGAGTCTAGTCCCCCTTTAGTAGATAGAATATGGGGTTTAAGGTTCAAGGTATAGTCACCCTTAAGTAGATACAATATGGGTATATTCTTGGGGTTATGTAAGGGATGATGGAAAAGAAAATGGACCATAGTATTATAATCGGGAATAATTGGGGCTATAGTCCCCGTTAAGTAGATAGAATATGGCTTTGGGTATATTAAATAAGATCCCCATATATCCTATGTTCTATCTACCTGAGGGGGACTACAAATTCTTAGAAGCTGTGGCAGTAGCTGTGCGCAATGAGACCCTGAATTCTCAAGCTTTCAGAAGCATATTCCTAGATAGTAGGTTTCAGGGTCTAGGGGTTTAGGCTTTAGGAGGTTTAAGCCCAAAAACTTGCCAAGTAGGTAAACATTTCTTTTGACTGTTTGGGGGGAAGCTTCATTGAAGCCTCTCAAGACCTTGGCTGCCCAAGGATCCCGGTCCCATATTGGGGTATACAACACTACTAGGGTCATAATATGTTGTATGGGGCGTACGCGATATCTAATCCCATTTTCCATTTGATTTCCCATTTTCTTTTCCACTTGATTCTCCATTATTGGGGTCCTATCCCCTTAGCCCTAAACCCTGCATTCCCCTAAGCCCTATATAAATCCTTCCAAGCCGCGCAATTGAACTTGGGCCTATCACAGGCGACCTTCTCGTTTTGGCAACACCTGCAGCTTGCCAATGCTGAGGGGTTTCGGGTTCAACGTCATCCATCCTTCAAAATGCTTCACCCAAGTGGAGGCCAAAATCTTCGTTGAGCCACAGTCTAAACTCCTAGTATCCCGCTTAAGAACGCCGAAAAAACTCCCCAAGATGATCCCCTAGAATCCCCTACATAACCTCGATTAAGGAGTCTGGACTACGACGATGAATCATATTCTGGACTAGTCCGGAATCTGCAGTTGCCAATCCCTTCCCGATTCACCTCTCAGTATTTTGGAGCCCAAAGAAACTAGAATGAGGGAGAGATACTTGACTTGTGAAACACTGTTACTACGATTATTCCTATTACTACTAGTATAACTACTATTTCTACTATAATCTCTATGAGTACGAATACTACTATTACTATTACTATTACTATTACTATTACTACTATTACTTTTACTATTACTATTATTGCTACCATGACTAGTGTTAGTCTGTTAGTACAGACCAGTTGCCACAGCTTCTTCGCCAGAGACCACTTTTTCTTGTGGTCGGCAAACTCAAAGTCCTCTGCTACTCTGCTGCGTATAAGCGGGGAAGCCAAACGTCTGCCGCACATCTTCTACCCCATTACGTGCTTGGTATACAGGGAGTGTGCAAGGGTAGCGGATGCAATGAAAGCTATGCCTGCGATGCAGGCACCTGAATCCAATGCACAGCGTCTACATCAACCTTGCGTATAGTAACTCTTCAGTTGCCGAGCTGCGCAGTCGAAAGGCTTGCAGCCAACCTTGTGGTACTTGCAGCAGTAGCCTGCTAGCAGCAGAGCCCTCACCTTATTAACCGGTCATCAGGACAATACCGTGATACAAAGCCAAACAGATCAAACAGTAGCCACCAACTTTTTGTGACGTGAAATCGCACCAAGAGAACAGGCAGACAAGGAATGAACGCTTGGCAACGGGTGCTCTGTACATCTGTGGAGCCTGCATTTTTTCCTGGCCTTGACTGGCAGCAATGGTTGGGCAGTGGGAGGAGGAACTAAGCATTCCAGCTCATTAGCGTCTTGACTTTCAGCTGTCCATGCCCAGGCCTTTCTTCAATGCCGACCAGCCAATTTCCCACTTGGGCAGCCCGGCATCACAATCAAAGAGCTCCTCTGCACAAACTGAGGTAGTGAAAAGCGTCTACTACGAACTCCTGTGGTGAGCGAGGCTCACAACACTCTCGTGTGGAACATGCAGCCAAGGCGCCGATGATGGCGTCTCCTCTTTAGGAGGACAACCAATGCCTGCCTTTGCAGCAGAGCCCAGGCACAGGCACTAGCTTTGAAGGTCACGGACATCAAAGCGGCATGTCAATTAACACCACAAACCTGAATCTACATTTGGTGGCAGGAACAATGCAAATTTTGGACTTCAAGCCTTGTCGCAGCAATAGTCCTTCTTGCTGGGGTCCCAATCCTTAGGCTGCAGCTCTGCAAGTTGCGTCAGCGCTGTCATCCCACTGCTTCGCAACCCTACGTCCAAAACGCAACAGCCCAGAGGGTATACCAAGATGTTGGGATTTCCGTTAACTGCGTTTTGCTCAACGTTGTAGGCTCCGCAAACACATTTAGAGAATTCACCTTCTCACAGCGAGGTCGCACGCCTCGGAGGCATCCACGTCGTAGCTGCAATCCCAGTGGGCGCAGCCCACCTTTGTAACCCCAAAGATGAGATTGCTTGCAAGAATTGATTCTACCACTGGATGGACATTCAGAATTGAAAAGACTGGCACCACACAAGGCTTGTGAATCCTGTCAAGGAAACACAGGAATTGCATAGAGAGCATGTTGACTATTCCAAACATACTCACAACAAGATCTTTCTGCGGACATGCCACCGTGAAATGGTCACAGCAGTAGTATCGCTTCCTCAGTGCTCTGGCTGCTCTGCCCTTTTCCTTACCCAAACACCTCACCTGGGCAGGAGTATGCCATCCGTGAATTGGTACTCCGCGGAAATCCAGGTCAAAGTAATGTCAGGAAAGACTTCTCTAGAGACCTACAAGCTGAGTCTAGGCTACAGCTCAACACAACAAACTTCACTGGCTAGACTTCTAGCGCTGCTTTCTTGAGCTGGGCGGCTGCAGCGGCCAGGTCTCCCACGTGCCGCTGCCTTCATGCGTGGGGCACATGAACGGCATGAAGCGTCCCCACCCTGCTCCAAAAGCCTACAGATCTAAAGCTTCACTCGGCCTGAAAGGCCGCAGTGATAATGCGAATGGTCCTGGAATTTCAATACAGTGTGAGGAAGACTCATCTCAGAGTTGCAAGCGAATAGCTGGCAGATCGAAGATTCAGAACATGTAGCCTAGTGGCCTAGCACATCAGCAAAAACTCAAAGTGCACACGACCCGAGGCAGTCCACAGGCGCAGGTGCAGGCGCATAGTCGTCGTGATGATCGTGGCAGCCCCGGCCCTGGTTGCGGCAGCACCTTGACTGCTGGAAATGAGAAGCTTGGGGCGTGTCAGCAGAACTTCATGGACAAAACGACTTGGTGAGCAGTGGG